GGGGGGGGGGTAGTTACACTGGTGTGATCTGGTTCTGCTGCCGATGCGTACGACGCGGATTCAGACGTTCCGCAGAGCGCAGCCAGTGACCCTCCATCACGAGGAAGAGGATGAGGCTCATCACCTGCGACATGACACACCTGCCTCCAATAAACCTTCACCTTGCTGCGTGGGCGGGAGGGCGCGCGCGCGCGCCGAGGTGCACTCACTCCGTCCCACTCGCGGGAGCGAACGGGTCGAGGATAGAGGCGCACATGAGCGACTGACGTCAGCAGCCAGCAAGATGAGGTCACAAAACGGCAACGGTTTGGACAACAGCCTTATCGAAGGGTGCGTTTCGTGCCGCCGCCGCGCGCGCGCGCGCACGCTCTCTTCGGCGTCGCCGCCGTTGTCGCCTGGCTAATGATGAGTCCTCGTGAGCACGACGTCCTCCCCGGCCCCGGCGCGAACCGGGGTGGAGCACTCCGTGAGCCCTCCCGCCTCACCGGACAAACCGGATGGGTCGCCCTCCCGCCGAATCCACGCGCGTCACCTTCGTCCTTTACTTGTCCGCTCCGCCCCTGTTGCCAACTGAAACCCGAACCAGCGCAAGCTGTACCGCCCAACCGACCACGGGGCGCGACAGGTTGGGTTGGGTTCCGGCGGAGGCCCGGTCCAGACAGTCTAGACGGCTGGACGGCGAGAAACTAATCGGTTTTGTTTGTTTTTATCATCACTCCCCCCGTTTCGTTTCCAGACCGGGCGCGGGATCTTCGACGCCCTGCTCGTGTCGCTGTGCGTGTGCCTGCTGCTGGTCCTCGGGGTGATGCTGCAGCGCGGCGCGAGGCTGCCGCCCGCCCAGGACCCCGACAACACTCCGGACACGAAGCCCCCCGGCCCGGCCCCGGCGGGGCTCCCGGATGTGCCCGGCGAGGACGTGCCCGTCGACGACGGCCCCCGGGAGCGCCTCATGTCGCTGGGCTTCGCGCTGCTCTTCATCAGCCTCGGCGTCTGCCTCTACACCATGTACCGCCTGGGCTTCTGCTGCAACCGGAGGGAGTACAACCGGGGCAGGCTCAGGGTGAGTAGCGGGGCCGCAGTGTGTCCGCTCTAACGTAACGACCTCTATTTGCTGACGCGCTGCTCGTGCTTGCAGAACGACATCCCCTCGGTCAACAGCCGGCTGCACCTCATCTCGTCGACGGACCTGCCGCCCACGTATGACGCCATCATGCTCTCGCCCAGCCGGCCGGGCGACCTGCAGCCGCCGCCCTACTTCACCATCATCACCTTCCAGGACGATAAAGTGACGCCCCCCTCCCGCCCCGCCGGCGCGCACGCCGCGGCCTTCTCGGGGGCGGCAGGCGCATCGAGCCGCCCCCAAGAGGCGGGATGAGGACGGCCGGCGGGCCCCCCGGCGCCTACATGTTCGATCCACCTCTGCTCGACGCTACGCGAGACCGCGCAGCTTGTCTAGCACGCGCCCAGCTCCCGCGACGCGCCGCTCGGCCCCGACTCTAGGCCTCTAGAGTCCTGGCTTTGAATCCCCGCGCAGTGCTCCCCTTTCCTCGGAGTGTCCAGCGTGAACGTGGCGCCAATCTGTGATGAACACAGTTGGCTCATATTTTTTTTTTCTAGGCAGATTAGACCAATAAGACAAGTGTAAAGAACTAACTGAACCACGAAACACGGGTGGAATCAAGGAGAACTGCTACAGGTTGTTGTTGCCTCATTCTTGTGGACAGTATTACAGCCTGATTTGAATTTGAGAGAAATGAGAAGATTTGCAGTGAAAGTGATGAATCTATCCTATACTTGATTGTTAATGAGACTCAAGGAATTACAGTGTCAAGAAAATTCTTTTTTACTTCATTATTAAATTGTTACATTTATCAGTTCTTTAGACATATGTACATTATTATTCAGGTGCCCACAATTTGAAAGTCCTGTCATACGAACAAGTAGCTATATACTGAGTGTCAGGTGATACATCTACACACATTACTTTACCATCATGTCCTGAGAGGGTCTTTACAGGCTGGAATGTCTTATTAGACCAAACCTAAAACAAAAAATTGTAAAATTTTAGAAAGTTTTAGAAACAAAATTCACATTATCTTAGCGTTTGAAGCACACAAATACCTTGGCAGTATTGTCATAAGATGCAGAGACCAAAAATGTGCCATTCTCCCTCTGGTATTTGACATCAGATACTAGATTAGTGTGAGCAGGAATTGTATATATACACTGGCGTTTGCGAAGGTCCCAAATACGGCATGTATTATCTTCACTGCCAGTAGCAATGTGATAACTTAAAAGATGTAGAGAACAAAAGATTAATGAGGATACCTAGATTAGATCATAAACATTGTACCTCAGATACTTGTTGAATTAGTTTACTTACCCATCAGGAGAAAAATCAACACCATAAATTGCTTTAAGGTGCCCTTCCATAAACATGATGCAACGTCCAGTCCGAAGGTCCCACACTCTTCCAAATGCATCAAGTCCACTACACCCAAACATAAATTGCTCATTAAAACTCTGTTAAAAACAGTAATAGAAACATTTAGTCATGCCATGCCATGTAAAACTTATCCTTACCCTGTTGCAGCCACTGATCCATCTCTCTGAAAAGATAAACAATACACAGGCTTTGTGTGGCCTTCTTGGTGCAGAACTTCAGAGCACTGTTCAAGATCCCACAACCTCCATGAGTTGTCAAAACAACACGTTCCTAAGAACCGCCCTGAGGGATGGAATCCAATTCGTGAAACTCTATGTGGAGCATGGCCCTCTACATCAGCAAGCGGCTCTTCACTGCAGACAAAAGAAACATACAGATGATGATACAGCTCAAATTCTATTCTCTGCCTATTTTAGATCATAAAACAAGAAGTACCTTTCTAACGTCCACAGTTTCACTGAACCATCAGCAGCACATGATGCAAGAGCACAAACAGCCTGATTTGCATTGTCTTGAGTAGCATTTGGATGAAAAATGACTGCTCCAACATTGCACTGATGACCTCTGAGTGTGTGAATTTGTTCACATTCTGGTATAGACCAAATCTTGCACATACCACTCCTTTAAAAATTGGAACAGAATTAGGAAAGAGTGTCATGAATGTTAGAATCTACTTGAAAGAGTTCTAAGAGACATTATTGGCTTCACTCGGGCTTCACTATTGTTTTACTCACCAAGATCCAGTAGCAAGCATTTTTGAGTTAGGACTGAATTGACAATAGGAGATAGGTCTGGTGTCTCCAATCTGTGAGGCAAAAATAGACACTGCTTGAAGCCTCTTGTGAACCTCTTGACGATGAGCAGTCCTTGTAGCTTCTGGGAGCTTCAGTTCTTCACGAGCTGCCTCCAGACGCTCTCGAGCACGAACTAATGAATACTCTGCACAGAAATGAAATGTAAGAGGTGATAGAATAGACCAAAGATAAATTTTAAAATGAAAAGAAAATTCTACAAAACTTACGAGCAAGCCACAAACGAGAAACCTTCAATGACTCAGGACCTTCATGATACCATGTTGATTCCTGATCTTTTTCTTGCTGAATTCGTTCCTCTTCCTGTTCTTGTTTTCTCTTAATTGCATCATCTCCAAGTCTGGAGAGCCAATCTCTCAAGCGACTTCTCCGTTCTGCAGGGCCCTCTCCAAACAAACATATTGGTTCTCCTAACTGTCTTAAATTCTTTTTAACTTCTCCATCGTCTGTTGGAACATTAATTTGGCGTGCCTTCTTACGCCTTTCAAATTCCTCTAAAAGTGCTTGTTTGTCTTTGGACATTTCCTCCTCCAAGTCAAAGTATTCTGAAAAGCATTGTGACAATATAACAATCAAGTTAACATGGTTGATACTTGAAAAGAATTAGCCTGATTAATTTAAAACTTTACCATCATGTGTGTTAATATTTCCAAAGTCCATGGACTGCCCTTCCTTGTCAGAGTCATCATCGTCACTGTCTTCTCTGGCCATCTCTGTAGCTTGCCTTGTCCGCTCTTGTTCCTCCAAGGATGCATAGTGAATGGTTTTAGTCTTTTTGACATACTGAATGTCCTCATCATCAGACATCGTTTCTGTGAAATAATTTAGAATCTAAGATTGAGCTGTATAATATATATATCTGCTGAAATTGTTATTAAAGAAAACATAACCACAAATATGTGAAACATTTAGAACATAGGGAAGACTTACAATGAAACAGCTGATTGCTTCCAACAATCAGCGATAAAGTGAAGCGTAAAGGACAATGCAACTCAAAACGAAAAGAATCAAAACTTCACAAAACTTTTCGGATAAAACAAAAGTACAAACAGTACACAAACCGGTAAGTAAACGGATCTTGGAGGGGAGGGGAGGGAGGGGGGAAGAGTCTGCTAGTCGAACGTCAATGTGAATGTGAATGGAAAACTGTATGCTTCGTGATGACAAATTTATGGATCATGGATTCATGAAAAGAGAGCCGAAAAACACACTTGCAAGAGAACACTTTGAAAACGGGAAAATGAACAGTATATCTTTGTTGTTACGAAGTAATTTAAGATTTTCTTCCATTCATAACAAATCAGTAAGCTATTTCCTGCGTATTATACCAATCGTCGCTGTCTCATTAATTGTTGTTACAAGCTTTGTGTTATTTGGAAGGTTATGGTTCCCATCTAATGTCCCCTTCTCATGTATTTAACTTCTGATAATTATTTGTTTTAGGTTGTTGCCTATTCTTCACAGGCAGCGAAAGAAAATGTTACAATTAAAAAAAAGAAACCTATCAGCAGAGCGATGCGTGCATATATTGACCGAGTTAAGCAATTTGGTATGTACTTGTGTGTCCAGTGTTGCTTACTAGTATACGAGTATATAAATCTAAAACTTTATGAGTGTACTAAAAATGTGTAATCCTTGTTTCAGAGGAAAATTTGATCGTAGAGTCAAAGGAGTATAGTGATGGTAAAAGATTTTTAGCAAACATAATGGGTGAGGATCCAGCACACTTCACACCCAAAGATGTTGATGTAGGTTTGATTTTAAGAGCAGGCTTGACTGTATTCTCTGCTCATTCTCTGGTAATTAAGAACACATTATTTATTTCCAGAAAAGTGTTGAATACCTCCTACCTTCTGGATTATTTCAAAAATTGGCTAGACCAGAAATGGCGCCTCCTGAAGAAACAATAGAGAAGGCTAAATTTGACATCAATGGGCGTCCTTTTCATTTTCTTTTCTACACAGGGGCATCCCATCTTTATGAAACTCAATTTGTATGGAGAAATCACTCATTAATTACTTGAACATAGCGATCCACAGCTGAATCAAAATGTTATGGTTTAATTCTTTTGATCTATTTTTTCAGGAAACTGTGAAAAGAATAAATAGGGCTGAAAAATTACTTGAACAAATTCACAGGAAAGGGCACACACCTGAAAAGGAAAACAAAATGTAAGTGTTTATTTATACCTACTGTGTTGCAGTTTCTTCTATAACAAACCTTCTCATGGGCACATTAATTTTTGTTTAGGGATTTGGTTACCTCAGAATGGCAAGATATTAGCGAAATGGAGAAGACCATCAATGAAAGTATTAGAGATGATCACGTAAGCATTTCATAATTTTTAAATTTCCTAATTTACTTAATTCAAACTGTACAACTTCCGTTTCTTTTGATAATTTCATGCAATTTTATGTTAAAAATGAACTAAAATTAAGATCATAATTGTTCCAGTTTGAGCAGACTATGCAGGCCCTTGAGAGATTGGCTCAACATCCTATGTCGGGCCATTTTAAAGACTTTTTGATGAATTATAGAAAAGCCACTACAGTTAATATGACCGAAATGGTGTTTCCAGAAGTGAGTGGTTCTGAATTCGCTGTTTACCGACCCATTGTATTGCCAATATTTTCTTGTCACAGTACAGTTTTGTAACTACTTTTCCAGATTCAGCAAGACCCAGACGGCCGGTACAGTGTTCAGCACACTAGTAAGTCATCCACCTTTGAATTTCCTGTTTTTGACACAACTTGCTGTACAATATCTTATATTTCGTGTTGTCTTGTAATACAGCCAAGAGGAAAACAGCTGTGGCAACAGTGACCATCCGTTCTCCAGGAGAAGGCAAATTTGTCATTAATGGACAACCAGGCCTTCTGTATTTCTCTGATGTGGGAGCCAGGGAACACGTGAGTAATTTGGCCTTGGGTCATTAATTTTAGATTGACGGTCTTTTATTACGGTTTTACTAGTGAATTTAATGAGTCATTATTCATTAACTCACTGAACTCTGATTAAATGACTGCTCAAACTAATGAGCTTATGAGGAGTCAATATAAGAAACACAAGGTAATTTGCTTAGCATTTATGCATACATACTTCAGTTTTCACTCAATACAAAACGATACTTAATTTAAAGCTATAAAAATCTCATATTTGCTAATCTTAACTCATCACAAATTAAAGTGCATTTACTTGTACTAATACACATTAAGTCACATTAATTTAAAGCACATTATCAGAGTGCTTGTTGCCTAGGATTAAACCAAAACTAAAAAAAAAATTATCACAGTAAATATTATTTGTGAACTGTCTTTGATAATCTATGATTTCACTAAATCCTAGTGTATGGTTAGTAAATCATTATCAGGGTTGAGACTTATTAACAGCTCTCTCATTGCTTCTCTGAGCTCACGCACTTCCTGCGTCAGTTGGTTGATATTTGATTGAGTGCCAGTATTTATGCCTTGCCACATTGTGCGATGAGATCCATATGATGAGATAGTATGTTTTCCTTTCCGTCTTTGTTTTGCCACTTCATAAGCTGCAGCTAATACTGGCTTTGGGAGTCTGATCTCTCTAGGATTCAGTGGTTTAACATGCAAAACCACTCTGTAACCTGAGGGTGAGACAAGTACAGATCGACACAGTAGCTTCTGTATATGCCTAGGTAGATATCCTTTAAACAGAGCACCTTCTATGTATGATATAAGATTTGTCTGACGTACAAGCTTGGAAAGAATTGCTGTTTTCTTCAGGCCCTGTGAGAAAAGCACCACAAGCTCAATATTAGTAATAATGGTGATGCAGATGCACTCAACAAACCATATTTTTTAAAGTACTTTTTCCTTACCTGTATGTCGTGTACAGCAATACCAACCATAAGATTCATTAAAACAATTGTCACTGACAGCAGGAACATGACAAAAGTCAGGTGAGCTGACACAGTAAGTAACAGTGTGGGATTATTGGTTGCACCACCAACAGACAGTAGGTCTTCAAAATCCAATTCTCCTGTCATCATCACTAAAACCTAGACAAAAGTAATTTTGGAAGTAGTTTATAATGAGCTCTAATTTTAATTTTAATCAAAAATTTCTCAAGGAACTTACTTTAATGAAGCCAACAAATGGGTTGGAAAATGTTTGTGTTGCTGGAAACATAACACAAAATGTGATAGTAAATCCTATTAAAAGACAGGCATAAGCCAACAGCAGCTTAGCAACTTCAGTTTGTACTCGGACATACATAGCAACATACGTGCCAAACACTGGAAGTTGACCAATCATCACCTGAAAATTATTAGCTAATACATGAAAAGGTGGGCTCCAATTTTTGTTTAAATCTTCAATTACACAGAAATAGTTTCAAGTTATACACACCATTAAATTAATCCAAGCAAACAGGACAGAGAAAGCTCCTAAGTGGTTTTGCCAGACATATGTTTTTCCAGAATATATAAAAGATACTGCAAATACACTTGCAAGTACTGGCCATTCAATCAGGTTGTCTGACTGTGACAAGTATTGATAGGGTGAGGTGTATGCTGACATCCAGATAGTTTTCCGTATCATTTCCAAGGAAGTGAGAACCACGAGGATATACCTACAAAAACATAATCAGAGAGTTTCAGCATTTTTCAGTGGCAGCGATATTGGTCAATGTGCTTTGACTGTCTCTGTTACCATTCTACTTCTATGACTGTTGGGTTCTCCCTAAGAAATGTGCCTATCATGGAGTTGTTTAAGCAAAAATCGGGAGTGAGTGTGACGTTCCTCGCCTCATTGTAACAATCATGCGCGAGGGCCGTGAGGATGTACAGGGTGAGCAGGACGGTGAACACGGCCCACATGCCTATCCGGATCGCGTAGACCTTGCGGACCTTCTGCCACTTTAAGTGCAAAAAAGCCTGGCACAGTGGGTGCTCCAGAAATTTCTTTTGTCCTTCCTCGTCCACAAATGTCTTGAGAAATGACGTCTCGTCCTGGTGGCAGTGCTGAAGGATGGGTCGGAAATCCAACTTCAGCTCCACCTCCCGGTGCGACACCTACAATCAAAAGAACCTTCGTGGTCACAGATGCGCCTCGCCCTGGGCCCCGGGTGCCCTCATCCCGACGCGTCCCCGCTGACTCCGTGCCCCCACATAATGCCAGTGCCCCACCTCCGGGTCGTGCATGCTGATGGCCGCGTCCAGGCGCTGGCCGAGCATGGCGAGCGAGGCGGGGGTCTTCCTGGCGATGATGCTGAGCGCCGGCGTCCCCCCTCGCGTCCTGGCGCTCACGTCGGCGCCGTGGAACAGCAGCGTCTCGACGCACGTGGACAGCTCGTTGAGCGCGGCGACGTGCAGCGGCGTGTATCCGTAGCGGTCGCGGGCGTTCACGTCGGCGCGGGCGTTGATGAGCATCTGCAGGGGCGAGAGCCTGGTTAGCGTTTGATCCCCTTTCACGAGGGTACCACCTGGCGCCGCACCCTGCCACTCACCTCGACCATGTCGTAGGCCACGATGGCCTTACCGACGGCGGAGTGCAGCGGGGTGCGCTGGTCGACGTCGGCGGCGTTGGGGTCGCTGCGCGCCTCGCGGAGCAGCGTCTCGACGCAGTCGACGCTCTGGGCGCGCGCAGCGAGGTGCAGCGGCGTCTGGCGGCGCAGGGTGAGCGCGGCGGGGTCGGCGCCGCGGTCCAGCAGCAGCGACACGACCTCGGACCAGCCGGCCTCGGCGGCCACGTGCAGCGGCGAGAGCCCGCGCTCCCACGTGGTGGCCGCCAGCGCCGCGCCCGCGTCCAGCAGCAGCCTGACGGTGCGCACCGCGCCCCGGTCGGCCGCGATGTGCAGCGGGGTCCAGCCGCCGCCGTCCGGCTCGACGCAGCACGGGTCGGCGCCCACCTCGAGCAGCAGCTGGACGCAGTCGGCCGCCCCCGCGCCCGCGCGCACGGCGCAGTGCAGCGGGCACTCGCTGTCGCGCGGCTCCCCGTCGCCGCATGGGGTGGTGGCCCTGGAGACCGCGACGGGCGTCATGGGCACGCCGTTGTCGAGCGGCGTGCCGGCGCCCAGCGGCACGGCCAGCGGCACGCTGAGCGCCGCCAGCGGCACCGTGGTCGCCGACGGCTGCTTGGCGAGCACGTGGCGGTGGTAGTGGCCCGCGGCCGGTGACAGCGTGGCGCCCGCGCGCAGCAGCACCCGCGCCGTCTCCACCGCGTTGCCGAACATGGCGCACTGCAGCGGCGCGAAGGACCGGTGCACCTTGTTGACGTCGATCCCCTTTGCCAGCATGAGCTTGGTGAGCTCGACGGAGCCGGAGAAGGCGGCCAGGTGCAGCGCGCCTAGGCCGTCGCTCGGCTCGGCGTAGTGAAGGTCCGCTCCAGCGTCCAGGATGGCCCTGGCCAGGTCCGCGCGCCCCAGGAAGCAAGCCCACAGCAGCGCGACGCTGCGCTCCGTCGGCCCCCGGCCCGCCAAAACCTGCGGACAACAACGCGGAGTGGCGTGTGGGCTCAGCTGCTCAGCCCAGTCACTTAGCGGCGCCCTTGAAGGGCTGGACCGCGCGGCTGGGCCGGCGCGGCGCGGCTCACCTTGGCGACGGAGTCAGGCGACACCTTTCCGGCCTCCAGGTCCTCGAGGCGAACGGCCGGGGTGCCGCTGCCGCTCAGCGTCCGCATGAGCTCCATCAGGTTGCCCCGGATCGTGTCCTTGCAGATCCGCACGCACAGCTCGTCGTCCAGGCGCCCGTCCAGGCTCTCGAAGAAGCTGCGGGAAGCAGGTACACAGCATGAGTACAGAGCATAGCTCAGTCCGCCACAGCGCAGGCTCGTTTCGCATTGGTCGCGCCCCCCGAGGAAGGGAGTTCCCCTCCACAACCGCGTCGCATCGCACATTATTGTTTTTATTTGTTTGCAAGTGCCATCGGCTACATGGTGGTCACCTTCGGTCGTCGGGGGCATTAATATTAATACAGGTAGGCCGCCGGGCTTAAAGTCACGGCCGGCCTGCCCTGCACGCCCGACCATAGGATGATAAAAAGGACAGCCGTGCGGTGAGTTGAACCAACGTCACAATAAATCTCATTTAGCCAAGGGCGCTGTGCGCACAGTGCGCCACATGTAATGTCGCCGGCGGGCGCGTGGCGCGGTGCCAGGGCCGTCCGCAACCTCCGGTCGCGTCCCGTTTGTGTGCACTTTACTCACCCGTAGTCCTCGGAGGGCGGGCTCTCGTCGAGCACGATGGCCTTCTCATCGTCGAGGTCCTCGACGCCCGCGTCCAGGTCGACGACGCCCATGTGCTGCAGGTCCCCGGCGCTGGTCGAGGTGACGCGCTGCTTGCGCCGGAAGCTGCGCCATCGCGCCGACAGGGAAGGCCCAGCCGTCTTGTACCTATAAGGGCGTGTACAAGCTCGCGGTGATGATGGTGTGATATGCGGGGGACGGTTTGGATACTTGCGGAAGGCACGGAGCGGAGAGTACTCACCTCGGCGAGCCGACCTGGCGAAGGTTCTTCTTCTCGTTGAACTGGTTGAGCTCGTCGACGCCCACGGAGGAGCTCCGCTTGGCCCGGGGCGCTCGGCGGTAGTCCTGAAACGCAGGGCGACGTGGGTTGTTATTGTAGGTTTTGGTGCCTCCATGGTCCCTCCAAAGTCCCCCGGGCCCGACAGAGAGCCACTTTCCATGCCCCCTCCCTCCTTTTCCCCCTCTTTTCCTCCCTGCCGACCACACGGTACTGCCGGTCCCGACCACAATCGGGAATGATTTCCTAGTTTTATTATCTTTTTGTCGTATACAATTTGGGGGGCGGCGCGAGGTGGGGCCGTGGAGCGCTCGCGCACTCCGGCGGCGCGGTCCAGAGAGTGGGACGCTTTGCGGCGTGTGGGGGCCGGGGCCAGGGGGCCGGGCCGGACCCGAAGCCCAAAGCGAGCTCCGAGATATGGAAATCCTGGTTGGGGACGAGCTACGAGCTAGGCCGGGGCGCCCGCCGGTGCGCCAGGTCGCGGTGTTTTATAAACACGGCGAATCGCGCGCATCACTGTCCACTGTCCGGCCGGGCGCGGTTATCTTATCCGGGCGATCACGCCGCCCGGGTCGTGCAGGAGGAGGGCGGGGGCGTGAGTCACTACAGTCACTGGCGGGCGGCGCCGCCGCCGCGGGAAGCCCCCGCACTGGCTGCGCGCCGCGCTTGGAGCATATAAAGTGACGTGCAAGTGACGCGATCCCATCGAGCCGTGCTCCCGGCTCGCGCTCGCTCTCACACACCCACAATCTGGGTGGACAATTACACTCAGCACTACGCCGGTGCGGTTCGCGGTGCCCCCCATGTGGCCCCAGCCAGCCGGTCTGCTGGTCCAGCGGAGCGGGACGGTGCGAGATGCTGTGCCCTTATCTCTCGTGCTTGCCCCCGTGCGGACCGTTAACTCTCCCACGCCCCCCCCCCCCCGCGTGCTCGACGCAGACATCACGCGATGTGACGTGAGTCAGATCGGCGAGGTGGTGTTGTTGTCTGCTATCTGCCCGGGTCGGTCCTGACCTGACTGGGCGACGCTGCTCCCCCGTCCTCAAGGCGTTCCGCGTCCACTGGAATGGAATGCTCGCGACCTTCTTGACGTCCTCTGCGCTCCTCCGTGTTCGTTCGCCATGTCGCAGGTGTCCCCCCCAGTTAGCTGCGACCTCGTGTTGCTCCCTGCGATCGTTAGGCGACGTGGAGAGTTTATGACTCCGTTCAATTAACAGCTTCGCGGCTCGGTCCGACGTAGCGCCGTTGCCGCCGCCGTCGAGGCGCCTCGGGCGAAATTCCCTTCAGTTGCACAACGTGGGACTTCCACGCTGCCGTGTAGCGGGAGGACAGGAGTGGCGGCCAGACTGTGCACAACTTGAAAGAATAAATAATTGCGAACGGAAATGCTCAGTGATGATCAGTGCGCGGTATAATACTAAGTGGCCCAGTTCCCTGTCGCGGATTAGCGAGCCGCTGCTAAGAAGAACGCAACACGCGTCGCGCGCCGCACTATAGTGACTCAGGCAGGCGGCGGCCGGCCCCTTTCTCCCGCACTCATCTCGGACTTCCGTAAAAACGGTGGGGTCGCCGCCATTCGTCATCGGCGAGATTGCGTGCCGGGGTGGCGGGGAAGGGGATACCCTCGAAATCCTCTCGATGTACGAAGCGTGGTGCCACGTGAGTCCTCTGTGACGACAGTGTTTGATGAGCTTTGTGCAGGGGCCCTGCACTTTCCACTTCAGTGACGTCAGAAGTAGGGTCGGAGTGCGACGACGGCAAAAGTCTCTGCCTGAATGTGTGTTTGTTTGGCTGCGGTCTCCTCCTCCACCTCCAGACGGTCGGACACCCTCCGTCGCGATATCTCGTGGTCCGTTGCGTCACGGGCCCATCAGCTTCTGTTGTCCCCCGCGGGGTATGCCGCTAGGCGCGACCGGGGCCGAAGCCCTCTTGGACCCTGGACCTCACGGAGACCGCACGCGGCGCGGCTTTCTCGCAAAAACACGGATTTGCTTATTCGAGATGGTTATTTTCTTTTTCGAGTTTGGGCCCGTCATCCTCCTCCCGCCGCCCGCAGCGCCGCCGCCGGTGATTGGCAACACTGCATGAGGCGGCGGACGCACGGACGCCCCCAGGAGGAATGCGCGTCGCGACGCTCCAGGAGACTTGAACGCCTGGCGGCGGCGGGGCCTGGCGGGGCCTGGCGGGGCCTGGCGGGGCGCTGCCGGAGCGTGCGGCCCGCTGCTCGGCTGCTGAGTCAATGCGCGGCCACCGCCGGGCCGGGAGCCGGGCCCAGCAGGCCCAGAGGACCATTACATGTGAAGCGCATATACTACAGTACTCACTGCTCGCGCGCTCCGCCCGGCCCCGAGATGAGTCCTCTCCAGGATTCTATCATCACCGCACTTCGCGCGCCTGTAAGGAGAAGGCCGCGCCTGGCCGGACCGCACAGCTCGGAGGTGCGCCGCGGCAAATAAGCACATGGCGCCAAATTAAAGCAGTGTAATTGATTGGAGTTGCTGGACGGTGGCGGTGTTGTGATTGCTGCCCATCGCTGGCGCGCCCACCCGTGGGATCTACGTGCTCGCCGTGCTGATTGACTCGATTGCTCTTGTTTTTTCTTCGCGCGCTCGTCCCATTGCTTGTTTGTGTGCGTCATGCGGGCGCCACTCTGTCTGCAACTGGAGCAAAGGAGCCTCCGTTTGCGATTATATGTCCTCAAGGAGCGGCGCCGGCTCGACGACCCAATGTTTTCGCGGCCACTTATCTCTCTCCCGCGGGCCGTGGAAGTCGTACGTGTGCCGGCGTTGTTGTTGTTGTTGTTGTTGCTGCACATCCAGCAGCTTCCACCCTCCCCTTCTAATCCCCTCCTCCTCCCCCGGCCTTCCCCTTCCGGCGCTCCTCTGTACTTCCACGCTCCAACGCGCCTAACGGGGGCCGCCTGCCGGGTAGGCAACCCGTCCCCGTAGCGCGCACGCGGGCGGAGCCAGCGGCCTACCCCGCCGGGGCCGGGCGTCCCGCCTGGAACCTGCCCTCGCTGCCGCCTCCTGGCTGGTCGCGCTGCGTCCGGACGAGTCCTGCTTAGATTTGACTTGGAGTGGACGAACGGGACGGACAGCCTGGCCCGCCTGTTTTGGGCCGGATGTTCGCACGCCTTGTATGTACTTTCTCCATTCAGCACTCCCCCCCCCCTCTCTCCATCTCCCTCATTCTGTGTCTCCGTGTCCTTATCAAAAGGTCGCGCCGCGGAGTGACATGTGACCCGGCGGCGCGCAGTAGCAGCAGCGTGATTGCGCCTCGAATCCTTTCCCACACGTGTGTGTGTGTGTGCCCCGGTCGTTAGCGGGCATGGACGTCGCCGGCCACCCGGTCGACGAACGTAATTCGCGGGGAAAATATTGCATTTCGACCTGCCTTGTGTGTATACTGTAATCTTGCGGTTATTCCCCCCTTTTTTCACACACGCCGTACGCCGTCTTATAGGGCTGGATTGAGTTTTAATTTACTCGCGCTCCAGATTTGAGCGAAAATGTAACCGGTTTCCGATCCCATAGCAAATGAAGTCCCTCGCCCGTCGCGTCGTCGTCGTCTCGGCCCAGCGCGCGCGGCGCACTCATGTCCCCGGGTGCTGCTAATTCCTTACCTCGTCACTTTCGTCCGTCATGTTGTTGCATGCCGGGCCGCTCGGATGTCACTCGCCGTCGCAGAGGCCGCTGTTGACGCTCGGCCCAGTATGGTACACACACTACAACACACTGCCGCCGTGTGCCGGTGCGGAGGCGAAGGTCTTCCTCGGCCGCCTCCGATGACGATGATGGGTATCCCTGCCCTCGGTCGGTGTCTTGACCGCGACAGCGCGGAAGAAGGTGTCCGGGTCCGTCGTCGGGACGTCGTCAACGACGGGGGGTTACTACGCGCTGCGCGCCACGTGAACGGGGTGCTGGCCGGGGCGGCGCGCCACTCCAGTCTCCAGGCTGCTGCCGCTCCAGTCACCGTCTGGCCTGGCGCACGACTGAAGCGGACCCGCCGGGCCCAAACGCGCTGGACGGCCCCGCCGTGCCCCGCCGCGCCCTGCCGCGCCCCGCCGCGCTCCGCCACACCACGCTAAACAGCAGTGCGTCTTGAGCCCCTAGGGCTTAGCGGGTGGGGGCGGGGCGGGGCAGAGCGGTCTAGCACCACTTCCTCGCTCGCTCATACACACGCACACTCTCTCTGTCGCTCTGACTCACTCTCTCGCTCATGGTTCAGCCCGCCTTCTTCTGTGTGACCTGCGTGGCCCCAGGCTCGCGGGACCTCAATCTGGGAGTCGAGCCCCTGGGGGAGTCCTGTCCTGCCCCAGCTGGCGGGCCTGAGGTGCTGACGTTCCCGTTGTTCTATGTGTCGCAGGTGCTGTTCCCGTACCAGGTGACGGGCCTGATGGAGAAGGTGGACACGGAGGTGACGGTGGAGGGCGGCGGTTTCAACGGCCAGTCCGGCGCCATCCGCTACGCCACCTCCTTGTGCCTGGCCGCCCTCGTCGACGAGCAGGGCCGCGTCAAGCTCCAGCTCGGTGAGTATGACCGTGACCTCGCCTTCGTCGGCGACTCGATCGAGCCCCCCCTGACACGGTATGCTTTGTGTTTTCAGCTGGTCTTCTGAGGCGCGATCCCCGCGTGAAGGAACGCAAGAAGTTCGGCAAGGCTGGCGCCCGGCGCGGTTACACCTGGCTCAAGCGATAGAGAGGCGGCTATGTTGTTTTGTATCTTCCACACGTATATTGCGATAATAAATCTGCACGTTTCGTTATCCTGTATTCGCTATGTTCGCCTACACAGTCCTTTGGTCAACATCAGCCTAAGATCTAGGCAACACCGCAAAAAAGAGCACACAACGTAAATTTCTCTTACTCATGGTGGTCTCTCCCTGGTATGAAAAATATAAAATTGTGTTAAAACAATCAAAATATTGAAGCAGACAGTTCCAATTCGGTTGTATTTCTCGTTGCTTTACGCTCCACGTATATTTTTGTTAATTCTACAAATTTTCCTTTCTCGTATTTTTTATCGGGTAATGGAATTTGGTTCATGACTTAGGTTTGTTTACATTTTTTGATCAACTCAACGCTGTCGATGTAGGTTATAAACTTTACCCAAGTCTACTACGTGGTGTGTTTTTTTTACTGATAATGAATGAAAATATAGTGACAGTTACTTTTGACTGTGGAAGACATGAAATTACATAATTTTTAGTTGACTTGAAATACTTGAAATCCACTGTAATGGATGGCGAGGGATGTTCCACATTTGAGGTAAGCCTGCTGAAATATTTCATTTCAACTTAATTTATTTTGCATTCTCCAAGAACGGGTCTTAGCATAAAAAAGCACGTTTGTTTACAGAGGCACAAGAAAAGTTTAGACCAGGAAAATGCTGACTCGTCCTCGCACGCTAAGGTACGTGTTTGTGACATCGTGCCCAGTTGCACAACTTGTACAAATGGACCGAGATTCATCAATATGACATTGAAGTGAGCTAGAATTCAGCAACCTAGTTATTGTTACTATGTTGTTTGTCTTTTTCCTCACTTAAAAATCATTGTGATGAATCTCTGACCCCTCAGATAGCATGCAAACGACATTAACAACAATATAATTTATATATAATTTTGTTTTCTGAATGCAGCGAAGGAAAGGTGATGGAGCATTCAATGATATGCCTGATGATGAGCAAGAGGTATGTAAAATAATTAATTTTGATTTGTTGTCTACTGTTTTTAAATCTTTTATTGAAGTACACCACTATTTGTCCATTTAGGTCAAATTTCTTGACCAAGCAGCAGCTGAAATGTTGGAAATCGAAAACAGTGAAGAAAGAGAACCATTGGTCTGTATCTGGGTAATGTGAGTTATTTCTTAATCAAATAATATTTTATTTAATATGGTCTCATTGTTTTATAGACAATCGATGATTTATTTGATGAACTACTTCAGAAAATATTTTCATACTTCCAAGCCCAAGATGTCTTTGGCTGTTTGTCCAAAGTGTGCATGCGTTGGGAAAGAGTTGCCAAAGATCCATGCACACTCAACCAGACCCAGTTGATTTTGGAAGACAAAAACATTGAACTGTGCACTCAGGTTTTAAAAGAAGCCTCTTGTATTGGAGAGGTGTATATACTACCCTCTTATCCTCCCGATGCTCTGAATCATTTGATTCGAGGGCCTAGAATCAAGAAGTTGGTCATAATAGGGGATTCTGAATGGCACCCTACATGGCCTTCCCCTTCGGATCTGATTGCTCTTCTTGATCACAACAAGTTAAGTTTACAGCAACTTAGTATGCCTGTTGATTCAGGTTTAGTTCACTGCCACAAGCAGCAGCTACCTGAGACAGGTGGTCCCTCTTTCCAATCTATTCTTGCAGGAATGAAAAGGCTGACACATCTTCACATGGTTGGAGAGTGTTGGAGAGACTGGGATGAATGGGATCTGACCAAAGAACACCCACATTTACGTACTTTGAAGATTGACAGTGTATCTTTTATTTCTGAAGAGTGCCTTTTCATACGTGATCTCATCATGTTATGCAAATCAACTTTAAGAACTTTACACTTGCCATGTCAGCTTCCTCATGATGCTGTATCTTTATTGGATGCTGGAATTTTTCAGGGGTCTCAAGTAGAAGAGCTGATGGTGAGCACAGGCTGCTTGAGAGTTATCTCACAAATGCCGCATCTTAAAGTCTTGGCTGTGTTTGACAATGGTAAAGAGGATAGGGACTTAGAATGGTTCAGAAAAATGCCTATGCTGAGTGGAGTTTGGAAATTAACCCTGCAAAGCGTCCTTGAGACAGAGGGTGAGAAAGAGGGTTTTGTGTGGCATTTGCTTTCTAAATTCAACCATCTTACTGAATTTTGGGGATTTGAGTCTACTGTTGAAGAAAACACCTTCAACATGTTCTTGAATAACAACCCTCTTCTGAAAGAAATGCATTTCTTTGATTTTAACGGATTTGATAACCCAAGTCAAGTATCATTGCTAGATAACTGTCTTCCCAAAATAGCTGTAATTGATTTGTCTTCTTCCCATGTTACTGAAGAAATGAGAAAGACACTTGACGTTTTCAATGAAAAAAGGCCAAATGTAAAAATTTTGTATGATGATAACTATGATGACATAGAAATGATTTTTGTATCATGAACTGTTCAGAAACAGTGGCAGAACGTAGAATGGTGTGTAATGATAGTCATTTACTTATTACCAATGAAATGTGTCCAGAATCAACTGTTTTTTCCTGGAATTCAAGCTTCCCTTAATCAAATATAAAAAGTTTAATTTGAAATGTGTGAAATATTTGACTTTTGTGTAAGTTATTTATTGGTATGGGTTACCTTATTGCAAAAACAATTTCTGTGAGTTACATACAGCTATTACTTTGCAATAACAGCTTGCTTATCTTCTTCTGGAGCTGTCTCTGTCATTACAGCAGAACTTTCTTGTGGCTGTTCTTTGGATGCAACAAATGTATGCTCAGCCATTCTGAAAAAAAATAATAATCAAAGAGTGAGATTTATTTGTCACATACCAAACTACAACAGAACAAACATTAGTCAAAAAAGTTAAACTTACCGGATGCGATCATTAGGGATAACTTTTCCATGTAATCTCCAAGTTCCATATTCATCACTCAATTGTTTTTCAAAAACAGCATACTCCAACACATCTTTTGCTAGAATTTCACTTCCATAAATGAGTCTTCCAAACCTGTCATATACTGCCAGCATCTGTTATTTTCAATAATGAGAGAATCAAGTAATTATTTATGAATGAGTACCGCCATCTGCAAAATTGACCTACAATTGTGCCTTACCTGTTGTGTCAGCAATCTTACAGTTAATTGTGCAAAGGTAGAACCTGCTTCATCTATCTTAAATAAACGCACTTGAACAACTTTGGGAGATTCCAATGATTGCAAGAACTTCCAATGAATAGTTCGCTTTGAGGCATTCAAGAGCATGGTCTGTAATACATGTGATGAATAAGGTGCACTGTAGTAAAACTCTACTACATGTCTTTTAAAACCAGAAATAAGCTTACAATAAAAAAAAAATAAGCTTAAAAGCAGAAATAGACTTACCAATCTGGCATGTTCAGTTACGTAATCACCCAAACTATCAAGATCATTCCTGTAAAACAAAATTTTCCAATAACTCTGACAACCAATTTGGCTTATACAAGGTACTTTACAGTCACAAAATGGACCAAACTTACGATGCCAGACATTCGTGAGCCTTGATGTAAATTTCAAGAGCATCAGGTTGAAACACCTTTAAATTGAATTCTGGTTCAAATTGTCTAATTTTACGAATAGCCAATTTATCTTTTCCAAATTTGCCAATGTCGCTCCACTTCTTCTTAATCTCCTGATGACATAGAGAAATAGGTAAACGAAACACGAATTGCTTGTTGCGTCAGTAGACATTTGTCATTTTGAGTTGATGTTACCTCTGTAATAGCTGTTCCCAAATTTTCTGGTGGCACAAATTCATCAACCACCTGGTTTGAAGCACTTGCAACAATTTCTCTTTCCCTCCACAATTTTTTGATGTTTCTGATATTTTGATAATAGCCTTCCTTCACACCTCTTTCATACTTATTCATATACTTGAGTGGGACTTTAGTGTCAACCTTAAACACAAGACAAACAATTGATTTTCGATTAATTTAACATAGACATGTCTTTAGTTTTCAAAATAATAACAATGTGGGAATTACGTCAATTACCTTTAATCTTCGCAAGTTTCTGAATTTCATATCTCTATGTTTATTATTCACAAACTCACGGACTTGTTTGTATTCCACGGATGATGCACATAAAATTCCTCGCTAAACAACAGATTGTAAATGTAATTTTTTCCAATTTTTAAGTAGCATATAGAAGAAAGTGCAGACGATAATCTTACCAAGGAACAGTGCACATGACCTAATACAGGTTGAAACGGAAGAAGTCGGAAAGCCATTTCAGTGTCTTATCAAAAATACCTCCCTATAAGTTCACGAGAATATAACGATTTATAGTAGCAGTGAAAATAACACCAAATTGGAAAAAACTTCAACACTGGTACACAACGGTAACATAACCTAACCTTAAGACAAACGAATAAACGAACTTAGTATTTCTCATACACGACGTTGGTTGTAGGTATACAAGGTAACAACTTTCTAAAAAAAAGGGAACTAGTCTTAATCATGAAAAGATACATTATTATTACAATATTAAATCGACAATGTTGCAGATAGAAAAACATCTCATTGTTCTACGCTTAATCTGATTTCGATAAAAAAAATGTTCATAAATGATAAAGCTCTTAACTAAACATGTCGGTTGGTACAAGGCACAAAGGAAAGTGAAAATAAAATTGAAAGAGGAGGGGAAGGAGGGGGCGAAGGGGGGTCTGAAACGAAAGCACCTAACCTTCCCTAACTGTCAACATTAGTCACTTATATATTGCTTATTGCAACTTTCCCCCACAAACAAACAAAATAATTAACAAAGCTCAAGAAAATGTCTCATCAAACTGGTATAAGAGGTAAAAACTTTCATTGAAGCCTGTAGTACAATTTCTAAAGTGACAGTATCAATTTCTTACTTTGTTTTCCTTCCTTCATCCAGCCAACCAAGAGCTGAAATCTTTCTTTGGAAAATGTAGAGATGGAAATATTCGAGTATTTAAAGTGTCAATAGATAATGGTACGTACTTCTGAGTTTGTATTGCTATTGGACTTTGTCTTTCTTGAATTTTCATTTAGAGTAGTTACTCATAATTTCTTAAATTCAACATTTCAGAACAGCTTATCTTAGCAGGGGACGACAAAGTCAAAGGGAGTTGGGAAGATGATTATGAGAGACTGATTATTCCATTAATAAGTGAATCGCAACCATGCTACATTTTGTACAGGTAATAGCCTTAATTAACTTAAATCGGTCAATATGATTATAATCCGCATTTGCTATTCTTGAAATATGCCACATCTCATGTCAATCAGGCTGGATTCTAAAGATAGTACTGGTGCATATTACTGGATGCTAATCAGCTGGTCACCAGATGATGCCCCTGTTCGTCAGAAAATGTTGTATGCCTCAACAAAGGCAACTTTGAAACAGGAGTTTGGTAGTGGTCAAATTAAGGAAGAGTTACATGGAACAGTCAAGGTACTTACATAATTGTCTTGTTTTTAAAATTACCATTCAAAGTTATTACATACTTTTTACCTTTACAGGATGACATTACCATGAGCGGTTTCCTGAAACACAAAAAAAATGAAATGGCACCTGCCCCACTCACATCTCGAGAAGAAGAATTGGCTGAATTACGCAGGTCTGAAAGAGGCGTTGCAGCCAGTGTGGGTGTTGATACGAGACATCAAACGTTGGGTGGTGTGGCTTTTCCTATGACAGACTCTGCTCGCCAAGCTGTAATTGGCATGGCGGACAAGCTTCACACCTATGTTCAGCTTAGAATAGGTACCTTTTCTAAAATATGCCACATTAAACATTCTATTCTTTGCAAAACTTTTGACATTGTGAAAATGTGTAGATTTAGATGAGGAGCGGATCCACCTTGTGAGTTCAGGTAATGTGAGTTTGGATAAACTCCCGTCCAAAGTTCCTAGCGACAGTGCTCGTTACCATCTGTTTAATTTCAAGCACACACATGAAGGAGACTACATTGAGTCTGTTGGTAAGAACTTTCCTCTAATAAACATCCAGTGGATGAGATTATCAAACTTATAACCCTAACAAATTTTATTGCAGTTTTTATATACTCAATGCCTGGTTATTCTTGCTCTATCAAAGAGAGGATGTTATACTCCAGCTGCAAGGCTCCATTGTTGTCTGACATTGAGCAGAATATTGGATTAGAAATCACCAAAAAGGTAGTTCTCTTTAAACTTGTTTTAGTATTGCAGTAGATCAAATCGTACTCTTGTGCACATACACCCTTTCTATAGCACTCTGCTTTAAAGTGCATGAACGGATTTTACTTTCCCCGCATTTAATATTGGTCTCATTGAAGTTGAAGATACATTAGCCCTAGTACAGATATGTCATAAGCAACTTTAATTGTAACTCTTTTCCTTTCTAACAAAAATATTTTATTCAATTCAGCTGGAGATTGACTCGGGTTCAGAACTGACTGAAGAGTTTCTTCAAGATGAGATTCATCCAAAGAAAAATCTACACAGGCCTAAATTTGCAAAGCCTAAAGGGCCACCCAATCGTGGTGCCAAACGTCTCACTAAACCACAAGCATCTCCAGTGGAGTAGTTGTACCTGGAGCTCAAGTTATTGTTATACTTCACAGTATTTATATTGGTGCTGCAAATCTATATGCATTTTTATTATTGTATTTGAGAAATTTTTAATGGAAGATGTGAAAGAACTTTCTTGTATACTTATGTCATAATATTCATAAAAATAAAATCTGTTTTTGGATATGACAGTTTTTATTTTAGTTAAAATTGGTGTAAGTATAGACATGTTACATTTCATTGAAATTAATTAAAAATGATGTTCCAAATGAATTTAAGATGAAACAGCTCTTTTGAGAGCCTGGTCTAGGTCAGCAAGCAAGTCTTCTGGATCTTCCAAACCTACAGACAACCGAATAAGATTGTCTGTTATACCAAGCTCAGCTCGCTGTTCTGGTGGAACTGAAGCATGGGTCATGACAGATCTGAAAAAATTAAAAATAGACTTAAAAATCTTAAATTAATATAAACCATAATCACAGAATATCAATAATATATACTAACGGAAGTTCAGCCAATGATTCATAGCCACCAAGAGATTCTGCAAGAGTGAAGACTTTCAGGGAACTAAGAAACTTCCTGCTTTCTGATAGACCTCCTTTCAAATAAAATGACAGCATTCCACTGACCCCATAACACTGCTTTTTTACTAAATCATGTTGGGGATGAGAAGGCAGACCTAAAATACAAAACATTGCAAAAATAAATCAAAGCAAGGTTTAGAATAGCAAAACTTAGAAACATGATGGCATTTTAACTCACCAGGATGAATTACTTTCTCAACAAGAGGGTGCTTCTCCAAGAACTGACCAACAATCAGTCCACTTTTCATGTGCTGTTGCATCCTTACAGCTAAGGTTTTTAAGCTTCGGTTGAGTTGTGAGCACTCAAATGGAGCGGGTATCACACCCATTGCTGCGGTAGAAATAATAAAAATAGTATAAGATCAACTGTATCCCTTGAAACTTTAAGATCGTTGAAGGTAAGTAAATTTCATACCATTCTGTAAGAATCGAAGGTTTTTGTGTAGTTCATCATCATTAGTTAGTGCTGAACCCATGATTACATCACTGTGACCATTCATGTATTTGGTCAGAGAATACATGACAATATCAGCTCCTAACAAAAGAGGTTTCTATAAAAGGGAAAAACAAAACAATAGTATTAAAATGAATGCAAACTAAAACTTTTGAGAAGGAATATCAAACTACACTCTAAATGGGGAGGGACAATTTTTGTACCTTAGTTAGATGTGTCTTTGAGCACATCTTCATCAGATACAAATTTGTCTGTACAGAGGTACAAAGTGTACCTAGGCTAGGTACAAATGCTATATTTTGTATGTGACTTGGATGCAAATTTGAATTTGGTTTAGATGTGCTCAAAGACACATCCAGCCTACGTACAAAAATTGTCCCTCGCCATTTAGTGTGTAGTGTACCTGATTGTAGCACGTGGAAAAGGTATTGTCAACCACCAAAATTACATTAGGCTTGCTATGGACAACTTTGCTGATAGCTTGAATGTCAGCAATTTTAAGTAAAGGGTTCGTTGGAGTTTCTATCCATACCATCTGAAAACATATTCAGTTTAATTATGTACACTTTAAAAAAAATCATGCGAGTATAACAGACATTTTACCTTAGTATTTGGTTGCATTGCTGCTTCCACTTTGCTAGGATCACGAGCATCAACAAATGTTATCTTTACTCCCATGCGAGTATGAACCTTCGAAAAGTAACGGAATGTGCCACCATAAAGATCATCCATCGCTACTATATGGTCCCCTGCATCTAGAAGACTTGCAATGACTGTTGTTGCACCAAGACCAGATGAGAAAGTCAAACAATGCTTGGCTCCTTCAACAGCTGCCAAGCATTCTTCAGCACACTCCCGTGTTGGGTTGTTGCTCCTGGCATACTCGTATCCCTTTATGGAATAAGGTAGTGATGTATTAGTGGAAACAAATTTGAGCTCAACCTTTCCCTCAGCACCATTCAAATTATAACTACCCTATGTTCAGCTGGGGCATCTTGTTTGTAGGTGGTTGATGTGAAGATGCCTGGTACCACTGCTCTGCAATTCCATTTCTCCGGGTCGTTTCCACCATGAATAGCAGCAGTAGCAAAGCCTGGGCCTCTGGGCAGGTATCCTTCAAGACTCATGGTTCTAGGGAAATACATAAAACAGAATTTCTATGAGGGTCACGACAGCTAGGGCTAAGAGAGCTACACGCCAAAAAAGGAACATGTGAACAGACACACAATAAGGCAGAGAGACATGCAACAGACAACTGGTCCACGACGCGAGGTTAGCCCTAAAACGTCTCACCAAAAATAGTGATGACAGCTGTGATTACCTCAACTGGTAGGGGCCTCAGTAGCACAGGGTAAATAACCGGCGGCAACTGACGCGCTGCAATCATCAACCACTGATTAGAGTCCACGACTGTACAGCTGTTGAGCACGAGGGGGGCCGGCTTTTCTGACTGCGTGCAAGCAAGATGAGGCACACGGCACACCACTTGGACTAGAAAGAGAGAGAAGAAAAGAGGGGGGTGGGGAGAGGGAGAGGAGGGGGCCAGATGTTGCGTCACGCCACCCCGCCACCCACACCACCTCCGAACCCCGAACGCTCTCCGAACAAGGTGAGTGTCGACCCGAACCCCGAACACGCGGCCCTATATCCGAAACTGATCCACCAGATGAGTCGCGTCGCAAAGCCCCTTCTCCACCTTCCCATAAATGTGACGAAATTTGTGCATGAGAGGGCTCTGGTCTGGTAGAATACCATGATTGTTTTTACGAGAGCATTTTACGTTTTGTCAGTCTTGTCACTGCTCGTTACTAGTTTATGCCAAACCCCAAACCAGGTTGTGTTGAGGATCGGGCGAGCGCGGCGCCCGATCCTTAGGCAGCCCAACCGGCACCGGCGACGTTTGGGTTGCATGCTGTCGTGAGTCAGCGGTATGTGATTATTTTTTGGCGTCATTGTCCTCAGTATAATTTGCATGTTTTGTATATTCGTGTTTCCGAGTCTCTGAATTAGAGCTGTGAGGAGGAGGGGGGAGGGGGCTTGTAGCGGTGCCATCTCTCCATTTTTGTTTGCTCCTTCCTGACTTCCCTCTTTAATTCTGATTCTCGCAGTTCACAAATCATTTTTGATAATTTACGCTTGGCAATAATGGCCATGCGGACCACACAAGTGTGCGCTCAGGTAAAGGGGGCGTCCCGAAGACATGTCGCGTCGCAACCGTGGACCGTGGAATAGTTGCGAGGACAAATAGGACGTGTCTGCCCCCTCCCTCTACCCCTCACTCCCCCCGGACCCCTAATCCCCGACAAGTCATCCTGTTGGCATGACCACGACAAGTACGCAGGTGCGACATAATCCGGGT